TGGGTGACGTAAGGACATTCATGTACCAGGAGAGCAGCACAGAGCTTTACATAACTGGGCTTCAGCAGAGAATGAAATGCCCCAAACCAGAATTATTCTCATGAAAAGCTGAAACCAGCCTTGTGTGAAAACTGGCGGGAAGGTGGTGAGTGGTGAGCACTGGGGATATGGGGAGGGGCTTCAGGGAGACCTTGGAACTGCAGGGATGAACCTGGGGAGATGCCTCCAAGGGTGCCTGAGGTGAGACTGGGAGCTGTTTCCCTGCCTGGGTCTTTTTCTGCCCCAAAAGCATCTTTCCCCCATTTGATGGTGGTGCTTTGGGAAAGCTCTGCAGTGACATGGATAAAGCTTTCCCTGTATGGCGGAGCCACATCCATGTGACACATGGAGCAAACTTGGCAAACCTGGAAGGGTCTTGGCCCTGGGACATGACAAGCAAATATTTTACATGTTTTAACAACAAAAGCTGGGAAAACATTGGCTTTTAAAACCAATTTACTGTGAAAACTGTGATGTGCAAACTGTGTCCCTCCAGTGAGCACATTTCCCCTTGGAAATGAGACACTTTGGAAGGGAAAATACTTCCCAAGGAGGCTTTGCTTCTAATTTAGAAATCCTCATGCCAAAATAGTTGTTTCCCTACCAAAATTTTGTCCTTAAATCCACTTACCTCCCCAAAAGGTTTGAGGTGTGTTTAGAATCCTGATGGCTTTTAATGAGCAGCCCAGGGAAAAGCCTGGCCCTGGCTCTGCTTGGCAGGAGATTCCTTGGGAACAAAAGCCTGGAGGTTTTGGGTGGCTTTAATACTTCCTTTTGTGCTTTTAAGATAAAACCAATCATTGAATCATGGAATGGTTTGGATTGGGAGGGACCTTAAAGTTCAGCTCCTTCCAACCCCTGCCATGGGCAGGGACACCTTCCACCAGCCCAGGTTGCTCCAAGCCCTGTCCAGCCTGGCCTGGAACACTTCCAGGGATCCAGGGACAGCCACAGCTTCTCTGGGCAACCTTTACCAGGAACCTTTTAATTAGACTGTGACAGAGGTGAAGAGGGATTTGTGGAGATGTTTTGTTCTGTATTTGGATGTTAAAGGGCTGGTCCAGTTTTGGTAGAGCCCGTGGGATCCTGGATTCTTGGGTGTTCACCAAATTAAGGAGGAGGGAATGAGGTGCTGAGGAGAAAGTGAAATACAGACACCACACTTGCTGTGCATAGAAAGGTCTGTGGGTAACTAACAGGTAAAGATAATTAGCTTATCTTCAGTTAATTTTGAGGATCTCAAAGCTCTTTCCCATTAGAAGCAGCTCTGCTCCTGCTTTCAGAGGACGTTTCCTACAGGAATATCCCTTTCCAGGTCTGTGCTGTCCTTTTGATTCCTAGGCCTGGGTTTCTTCCCACGTCCCCAGCCCAGCAAATGCAGTGTCATTAATATTTGATGGTGCCATGGTGGATAATCCTCTCCTGGAAGGCAGATCCTGGGCTGTCACCTGGCAGCTCCCTGGGCTGGTGGGTGATGGGCGCCTGCCCCGAGGTGCACACGGGCCATAAAAGGGATGCAGAAATCCATTTCTCTGCCTCCAGACGTGCAGGGTGTATTTATTTCATGGCCCAGCTGGGAAGCATTTCAGTGAGTGTTTAAATTCTGCTCAGCAATGAGAGCTGCATTCAGTTCTGAGGAGGGTCAGGCACACGTGGCTACTGGAGCGTTGATGATGGACACGCTGTAACCTGCTCCCAAAGCAGATGTGTTGGTGCAGCCTTTATCCAGATTTATTTAGAAATTTCCTGGGGGAGGGGGGCTCTTTCCTCATGGCTTTGACAGCTCCTTCCTTGGCAAGGCAGAGGAAGGTCATCCATGAGCAGAGGAAGCCCAGAATAGGGGGTGATGTCTAATCCTGTCCCCTGACACCCTCCAGTGGGCCCTGGACCATTTCTCCTGTGTGATGTGGCTCCTCTGGAAAGCAAAGAAGCCATAAAGGCATCTTGCCAGGTTACAAAGCATGGGGAGATGCTGAATCCACTGGTTTCCTCGTCATCCTGCTCCGGGGTTAGGAGTGTCTGCAGCTTGGGCTCGGACTGTGGCTGCCTGGAGCTGCTGAGGGGTTGCAGGTGTTTTGTTGTGGCTTTAGCAGCTGTGGCTGCTGGTTTATTTGTGAAAGCTCTGTGAGTAGGGCTGTTGGATTAATGTTTTTGGAAATAAAGGCTGGATGCTCCACGTCTCTCCCATGGGTCATGCACACAGGGTGCACTGATGTGGGGCCCTGCCCGGGTTCCTTCACTCTGGGTGGTTTTACCAGCTGGAATAGCAGAGCAGGAATGTCCATGGGGATGTTTGGAGATGTTTCTTGGGGTGGAATCCTCTCACTTTAAGCACTGTCAGCTCAGGGAGGAGCAGCTCTGGGATGTTCAGTGATGGAAGTGGAAGGAGCCCCCTCCAGCTGCCCTCGACCCCCACAGGCAGTGGAGGAGTCTGTGTGCACTGTGCTTTGGGGAGGTCGGGTGGCATCTCAGGGAAAGGTTCTTCCCCCAGAGGGTGGTTGGCACTGAACAGGCTCCCCAGGGCAGTGGGCACAGCCCCAAGGCTGCCAGAGCTGCAGGAGGGTTTGGACAACGCTCTGAGGGACAGGGTGGGATTGTTGGGGTGTCTGTGCAGGGCCGGGGGCTGGACTGGATGATCCTGGTGGGTCCCTTCCAGCTCAGGGTACTCCAGGATTCTATGACAGGGCACACAGTGGTTTGGGCAGGCCCTGCAGCCCCCCAGGGTGTGCTGGGATGGTCCCACTGGGCAGTGAGTGTCTGATGGGGTCTGGCTCTGCAGTCAGGGAGCATCACAGCCCCCCCTGAGCCGGCCAAGCCTTTGCAGCAGGGAGCCCTCAATGCTCAGTGAAGCAGCAAATCACATGCCAAGGGCAGGGAATGTTCATTTTCTTTCCAAATGATGCCCTACCTACCCTGTTCCCCTTCATTTTTAGCAATCATAGAGGTGGGTTCCTTCCCATGTGCACGTGTGGCTTGGATAGGAGAGGTTGCACCCCGAGGATGCACCCCAAGGATGCGCAAGTGCCAATGCAAATGGTCTGGGGACGTGGTTTAGTGGTGGCCTCGGCAGTGCTGGGTTAATGGTTGGATGACCTTTTGCACCCCAGTAATTCTGTGTTTCTCTGACGTGGATGTGCTGCCCAGGCTCTCACAGTGCAGGATTGGTGCTGGAGCACCTCAGTGCAAGGCAGGAGCTGCTCCTCCTCGGAGCTGATGGGCAGCAATCACTAATAACATGAGTTTATTAGCTGTATCTTAATTACAAAGTGGAGTAATTAGGGAGGAAGTGGCCATCTTGACAGCCTGGTGGTGTAATTAGAGCCCAGAAACACGTTGATAGAATTGCAAAGGAGATGAACTCCAGCAAATGGCTCTGCAAACAGAGGCCTGTGAGCAGCAGGGGTGGATTGATTTCTTTCTTTTCCCTTTTTTCCTGAGCTGGCTGCACTGACAGCCAGCACAGCACTTCCAGGGGGATGGTGCTGCATGGAGTGACTGCCCTTCTCACTCTCTGTGCCAGTCCCCAGCCAAAATACGGATGGCGGAGCAATTCCAGGCGTGGATTGCTGATTCAGAGGAGCTTTTTGCAGTAAATCATGTGCAGTAGCTGCTGTGCAGGGAGCAGAGCATGGCCTGGCCTCAGCCAGCACTGCCTGTCCTGCTCTGTGTCCTGCTGTCAGAGCATCTGTCTGTGCAGCCAGTGCTGCTGTGCCGGTGGCTCCTGGCGGGATCAAAACTGGATTTACATGTGCTCACATAGCAGAGACTGAACCTGGACCCAGGAGGGGGTCTGGGAGTTGTCCTGGATCATTGCAGGGCTGGGGGAGCACGAAGGAACCCCCGAGAGCTGCCTGAGGATCCCCCACCACCCCCTCCATCCTGCTGTCCATGGGGTAACGACAGAGCAGGGCTCGTGTCTGGAGCCCTCCTCCCTGGCCCAGGGCTGCTATTCACATCATCTCCAGCAAAAATCCAGGCTGGATGATCCCTGTGTTTGCAAAGTGAAGCACAGGCACTTCACCATCTCCACAGTGGAGCTGTCTGACAATATAAAGATGCCCCAAACAGCCTGATCCTCATGGAGCTTCCCTTCTTCCCAGTTCATCTCTCTGGAGCTCTGGCACAGCCGGGTGGTGACGCTGCTGGATGTCACTTTAGGGCAGGATTTTGATGCCAAAAAGGTTTCAGCTCCATTCATTCATGTTGTCCCTGCTGCTCTTCCCTTGTCCTGCCATGTCCCTCCAGCAGCTCTTGGATCCACTGGCTCCTGTTGACCCCAGAGATGTTGCAGCTCCAGCACCATCGGGCTCGTGGCTGGGTGTGTGTGTGGGCTGGGAGAGAGGGACAAAAAGAAACATGAAGACACATCAGGAGCTGCTGCATCTGTTGAAACATCTCTGTTCAAAGAGCACTTCAGGTCAGATGGAGCAGCACCCGAGGAGAGTGATCCCATGGAACTGTGTGGGATCTGTGGGCATTGAGGAGAAGCCAAGGAGCAGATGATGAGGATGAATATTGTAATACCTTGTAGGCTTTTGGAGCATGAACTTACTGTTGCTGAAGGGATCCATGGGGATGTGAAGGAGCCCTGAGGACAGTTCTAGGCCCCTCAGACAAGAAAGACACTTGAGGGGCTGGAGCGTGTGCAGGGAAGGGAACGGAGCTGGGAAGGGGCTGGAGCAGCAGGAGCAGCTGAGGGAGCTGGGGGGGCTCAGCCTGGAGAAAAGGAGGCTCAGGGGCGACCTTCTGGCTCTGCAATCCCTGACAGGAGGGGGGAGCTGGGGGGGGTTCAGGCTCTGCTCCCAGGGAACAGGGACAGGAGGAGAGGGAATGGCCTCCAGCTGTGCCAGGGGAGGGTCAGGTTGGACATCAGGAGGAATTTCTTCCTGGAAAGGGTGGTCAGGCCTTGGAAGGGTCTGCCCAGGGGAGGGCTGGAGTCCCCATCCCTGTAGGTGTCCAAGGAAGGACTGGACGTGGCACTCGGTGCTCTGGGCTGGGGGACAACGTGGGGATTGGTCACAGGGTGGACTTGACGGTCTTGGAGGTCTTTCCCAACCTGAAAGATTGTTGATTCTTAGGGCTGTTTGCCCATTAATGACTCTCTTTTGCCCCCTCAAAAACAGTTCTTTGTGACCTCGCTGCCCTGGTGTTTCACCAGTAAAAGGAAGGAGGGAAAAAGGAGAAGGGAAGGTGTCCCTGTTGTCACCTGTGGCTGTCACGGTGCCAGCCCTGTCTGTGCGCTGGGCTGGGCTGTGGCCTCCTCCACATCAGCATTTCAGCCTCTCAGAATTTTCCAGAATTCAGGAAAAGGGGTGCTTCTTCCTGTGCTCTGGAGCCAGCCCAGGCCTCAGCAGCGAGCAGGGTGTGACAGTGGCAGCCCCCTCATTAAATCTGTGTCTTGGCTGCTCATTGTCAATTAATGAGGCTCAAATGGTGCTGCTGAACTGCATCTGTTAATGAATGAACATCTAGTCCAGTAAAATACACATTTTTTGTGCAGACAGTTGTTCCACCTCATGCAGGGAAGCTCAGGGAATTCCTGAGGAATTCCAGTTCCTTGTTGGCAGTTGTTGGTATGTAAAGGTGTGCAGCCCCTTCACTTGGGTCACCCCCCCCCCAGCCCCCCAGTGCTGCTCCCTCCCTGCATTCACCAGTCCCAGTGCAGGGTTCATGAAATCATGGAATATCCTGAGTTGGAAGGGACCTCCAAGGATTATTGAATAAACTCCTGGCCCTGCCCAGGGCACCCCAACAATCCCGCCGTGTGTCTGCTCCGTGCCTCGCTTGGTCTCTCACGTTCAGGTGAGATTCTGTGTTTCCCTGAAGCTTCTCCCTGTTGGAAAAATCTTCCCTACCATGGGAAAATATTCCCCAGAACGGGACTAACTGAAGCTCTGTCTTTGCTTCCAGTTCAGACCCTTCTCAAGCCCGTCCTGGATGGCCAGTGGTCAGGAGGAGGATGGAGGAGGTGTGTGCCCAGGACTTGCCCTGGCTGTGGGTTCTGAGGGAGCGGGATTTAAATCCACAGGCAAAGGGAGTGTAAGTCAGACACCTTTTGGGGCTGCTGCTGACCTGCTGCTGTGCTCCCTGAGCCTGGGGCTGGGAGACTGCCAGGTCCTGCACATCCCTGCCGTGCCTCTGGAATGTCCTGACCTCCGGGAATCGAAGGAGGGTGGGTAAGTGACACCCTCCGGATCCTCTTTCCCCGGGTAAGCTGAGCCCGGCGGCGCAGGTGGATTTCAGGCCACATCAGGCCGTGTCTCCGTGCTCTGTGCCCGCAGTGCAGCTCAGCCTGGCTGGCATGGCTGGCTCTCCAGAGCCTCGGCTGAGCTGGGCTCAGGGCCTGCAGGGATGTTGCTGTGAGCAGGCTCGAGGCGAGGGGTGTGTGGGAGAAGGGAGGCTCAGGCACCCTCTCCGAGCTGCTGTGGGTGGCACAGCAGCAGCAGCGATTTCAGGATGGGCTGCCCATGTCCCATGTCACCTCTGCTGTCCTGGTGCTGGCTGTCCCAGCCCCCAGCACTGAGGGGCTTTGCTGTTCCTGTGGGATCCTGCACAGCCACAGGTGTGAGGGGGGCTGGGACCATCATCCCTTCCTGCCTCCATCTGCTGCTGCTCCCCTTCCCTGGAAATGAGGACCTTGTCATCTCCTGCTTGTTATCAAGGGTTAGTGAGGAAGGAGGGAGCTGACAGGATTGTAGCAGTGTCCTTTGCACATCTCCTCTGCTTCCCGTGAGGATGAGGGAGCCTGGGGCAGGATGTGTGCTCCCTGCTGAGGGGAGACTTCCAGAAAAAACATAAAATAAACTAATCTTGGGCCAGTTTGGTCGTGGCGAACCCCCTGGGAGTGGTCCTGGATACACCAGGGATGCTGTTATCCTTGAGGGATGGCAGCTCACGTGAGCTGATGCGCCTCTCCAGGACCAGCTGGTTCCCGAATCCCGGCTGTGCCACCTCCTTTTTCCCTGATGGATGTCAGGAGGAGAGGCCGCCCATCTGTGCTCTCCCTCCTTGTGCTGCTGACACTGGAGATGGACCTGAGGCTGGAAAATGTTTAAGCATCGTTAAAAATGCATGTTCAGTGACGCACACAGGGAGACATCCAAGACCTCGGAGGGGTTTGGGTAGCGGCCTGGCAGGGTTTGCTGTTGTGTGTGGAGGGAGGGGGTGTCACCCCGTATCTGTGACACTGCTCTCTTGGTGAGTTTCTGCTCGGAAGAAAGCTCATTTCCTCCAAAGTATTCGAATTTTAGGCCATTTCTGCCCTTCCCCAGTTTATTCCTGGCTACAGAAGCTACTCGTGCCCAGCCTGGTGCCGCTCCGTGCCTGCTCCTGCCTGTCACCTGTGCAGGGACACAGGGACGCCTTGTCCCCACGCCCGTGGTGCCACCAGACTGTGGCAGCTCCCCCATTTCTGCACAGGGGGAGCAGTGCCAATCCACAGTGATCACTGCATGCTGAAGGATTTAGTGACTGAATAAACAGAAACAGTTAATTGACCAAATTTGTACATTTTCTCACGTGCTTCATTCATCTGTTGGTCAAGAGCAAATGATTTAATTATTTATGATGCCACCTGTATCCATGGGACTAAATACTCACTTGGAGACAGTCCTGGAGCCATAGGCAGTGTGAGTCCTTCCTGCAGGGATGTCTTGGATCACGTGTGGGCCGTAAATTTGGATGGTACAAATAGATGAGAGGGGAGGTGGTTTAGTCAAGGACAAATGTGTGATGATCAGCTGGATGTGGATCTTTCAGAGCCTGGGGACACAGAAAGGGACACAGAGGTTTGTGTTTCTGTCTTGCTGATCTGGATTTATCCAGGGATGAGAAATGCTTTCGCAGGCAGTGTTGGGGGTGGTGGTGTTGGTGGAGTAACCAGATACCCTGCTGTGTGTGCAGAATTTGGGAGTGATGCTGGGAGGAGATGGGGCCTCCTGCAAGGTCACCGTCCCAGCCAGCTCCCAGAATGGTTTGGTTGGAAGTTCAGCTCTTTCCACCCCCTGCCATGGGCAGGGACACCTTCCACCAGCCCAGGTTGCTCCAAGCCCCGTCCAACCTGGCCTTGGACACTTCCAGGGATCCAGGGGCAGCCACAGCTTCTCTGGGCAACCTGTGCCAGGACCTACCCACCCTCACAGGAGCATATCCTGTCCCTCCATGCCTTGTCCCCAGTCCCTCTCCAGCTCTCCTGGAGCCCCTTTAGGCCCTGCAAGGGGCTCTCAGGTCTCCCTGGAGCCTTCTCTTCTCCAGGTGAACCCCCCCAGCTGTCCCAGCCTGGCTCCAGAGCAGAGGGGCTCCAGCCCTGGCAGCATCTCCGTGGCCTCCTCTGGCCTCTCTCCAGCAGCTCCACGTCCTTCTTTCTTGGAATCCACGGAAGGCAGAAGAGCAGGTGGATTTGAGCCCCATTGGGTGGCACATGTGGGCTGGTTGGGGTTGGCTTCATTAGGGAGCTCAGAGCCTCTCCCTGGGCAGTGTCCTACTCTGTCTGCTTTGATTTTATTTAATTTAATGCAGAGCAGCACCCAGGGAGCCGACAGAGCCATCCTGGTGTGTGGCACACGGTTTGATCCTGTGACAGCCTGGGAGGTCTCTGTGCTCAGCAGACTCCTTAAGTGATTCATCAGTGGAATTTTGGCATGAAAACCTGTGATTGTTAAAAGTGCAAAGAGGGAACAGGTTCTTTCTGCAGATGGGAAACTCTCCAGTTAAATATAAGGCAGGAATGTTTTAGGATGAGGGCAACGAGGCCCTGGCCCAGGTTGCCCAGAGAAGCTGTGGCTGCCCCTGGATCCCTGGAAGTGTCCAAGGCCAGGGTTTGGAGCAACCTGGGCTGGTGGAAGGTGTCCCATGGCAGCGGGTGGAACTGGATGATCTTTAAGGTCTCTTCCAATCCAGATCATCCTGCAGTGTTGTGATTCTGTGATCCACTGATAAGTAGCACCCTTGGAAATGCTCCCACTGATCCCTCCAGTCTCTCCAGCTGGAAGTGCTGGGATCCCCAAACCCTTCCTGGGCTGGCCAAGGAAAGGAAGAGCAGGAGGTGATGCTGCAGGCACTGAGGTTGAGTGGTTGCCTCCTGCCAGTGGGGCCAGTCCGGGCCTTTCCCTCAGGGATCCCTGGCAGGGAAGCAGGTCTGCAGGTGGAAATAGCAGCAGTCACTGTCCCTGGCCTGCAGGTCCCTGTTCCTGCACTCCTGGAGCCTGGAGCTCTCTCTGCACCCTGGGCTGCTCCTACCTGGAGGTTGGTACTTGGTGTGTTGTTGCTGCTCTGAGCTGGATAACGAAGAGCTTCTATTTTTATCAAGCCGTTATTTTATATTTTTTTATTTTCTTTCCTGGCAGTCAGCTCTGCTGCCGAGCCCCCAATTATCTGCTAATGAGCCATTGTTTCCCTCTAATCACACCTTCCTCGCCGTATTTTTTCTCACTGCTATTTAGAAGTGGCCACAGGGGACAGGAAGGACATTTGGCCGAGTCCAGCAGGATTAACAGTGACTCTCCAGAGTTCCCACAAAAGCATCAGCTAGGCTTATTTTGTCTCCACTCGTGTTCCCTTGCCAGCTCTGCCCTTCAGTCCCTGAGACTCCAGTTTAGCAGGTTTGGGAGCTGGCTCTGGACGACTCCTGGTGCTGCCAAACTCTTTATTCCAATGGAATAGGAGAGCAGGGTGTTGGAGTCAAAGGACAGGGCTAACACCCAACCACCAACCCTCCACCTCCTCCAAAATCCAGTGAACTGGCATCCTGCAAAGCTCTCCTGACTCCTCTTGAGAAGAGTTTTGGAAAGGTGGTGAAGAAATCCTCTGGAAGGACTTGTGGAAGCAGCACTGATGCCTGGCTGTGTTTCATCCCATATATATATATATATTTTATATATATATATATATATATATTATAGGTATCTACATTGTGTCCCAGACGTGATTTCTGTGTTCCTTTAACCCTGAATTTCTTTGCTTTTTTTTTATCTCACTTTTACAACTTCCATTGTCATTTATATCGGATTTATAATTACCTTGACCTTTGGCTCCTTCTGTGCTGCCCAGCGCCTGCTGGGTTGGGTTTCTCCACGGATGCCTCGTGGAATCTTGTGTTGATCTTGTCCTGCATTTCATCTCCATTTCTCCAGTGCTGGAAATGCTG